TACAAGATTCTGGCGAAGGTGATGGCATCCAGGAAAGGTGGCGCTGATTCAGGTGATCTTGGAAGAGCAGTTTGGTTTCCTACCTAGGAAACGCCTCTCTAATGCAGTATCGCTCGTGGCGGACATGATTGACGCAACCGCAAACGAGAAGAGCGATTGGTACCTCCTGCTCATCGATTTTGAAAAGGCGTATGACTCGGTCAGAAAGGGCTTCATGCTGGAGACGATAGCCGAGCTGGGGTTTCCCCCGCGGTTTGTTAACTGGATCGGAGCCCTGCACAGTAACGTACACACGAAGCTCTGCGATAATGGGTGGATTGGAGAGCAAATACAGATGCGAAAGGGTGTGAGGCAGGGCTGCCTGCTGGCGCCTTACCTCTTTTTGTGTGTGGTGGAACCCTTGAGCTGGCTGGCGGAGGAAATGAAGCTCGGGATCGGGAAGAAGGGCAGTGAACGCTTGGCGTATGTAGGCTATGAGGATGATACTACGCTGATACTGCAAGGGGAGCAGCAACTGGAGGAAGCAGGGGTGATGCTGAAAGATTTTGCAGTAGCCTCGGGGCTGAAGGTGAACGTGGGGAAGTCAGCCATCCTGTCGCTGGGGAAGAATGTCGAGAAGAAGGCACCGGATGGTCCGAAGTACAAATGGGTGGAGAAGGACGGTACGGAGAGACTGCTGGGGGTGGAAGCGCAGAAGTTACATGGAAAAAAGCTTTGACAGAGCACTGGGGGAGCTGAGTGGTAGTCAAAGTTTCTCACGACGGGGGCGAGAGTGACCATCATCAACAGTTACGTGCTGCCAGTGTTCCTCTTCCAGGTGCAAGTATACCAGCTGGGTGACCTGCTGTGGGGGAGGATAGAGACGCTCGTTGAGAACTTCATCTCAGCCAACCAGGCAGACACGGAGAAGCACTTCGGACTTCGGAGTGGGGATTTGATGTATACGCCAAGGGAGAAAGGAGGTCTGGGTGTGGTAGACCCCAGAAGCAGAGTCAAAAGTGTGGCATTGAGATGTGTGGGACAGGTGCTACTGCAGGAGTGTCTGCTCAGATAAGAGGTGACCGAAAAAGCAGCCGGTCTGCCGGGGTGGGCGACACTGTACGCACACAAGGCAATACTGAAAGGAGGGGAGATTAAGAGCAGGAGGGGGGCCAATCTTTGTAAAATAGTGCTGAAATTGATGGAGGTGAAAAAGGCGGAAGCGGCATCCAGATGACTCGCGTGTAAACAGGCTCTGATACCAAGTGTGAGGATCTAGGATCGAGCTCAGGAAAGAGGGTTTGAATTGAATGATCACCTGGGTACAACACGAGGCTATATATAGGCTCGACACAAGGGGCAGTAACCAGGTGTTACGCGAAGGTTCTGGGGGTCGCGAAGCGTCCCGAACAGACCCTTCCCGAATTCGGTAGAAGGCAATTCGGTGGCAACCGAATAGCCCAGAATTCGGTGTACGCAACCTAGCTCGGTGCTATAACTATAATAAAATATAGGAAAGCACCTAGCCTAGGAAATCAAGCAATTCATGCATGCATAAAATAAACCTAAGCTAGAAGTAGCATAATAAAGTAAAGGCAAGCATGCATAGCTGGCATAAGCCGTCGTACTCTCACACGACGGAAGTGCACCTGTACCTCAACAAGAGCATTCGTACAGTGGCAACGCTCCCTTTTGGTAGACAAAAGGGCACAGAGAAGCTGCAAAAGTGGAAGATGCCCGATATGGTGGAGGAAGCGCTCACTAGGGAGCCGGCCTGCAAGAAGGCTATGGCAGTCAAGACTTTCTACGCAGCCCCAGAGCAGTGGAGGAAGTGGCTGCTAGCGCCTCTGACGGTCTCTGATGGCTACGGCATCGGTGGTGAGGACTACACTTTTGAACGGGAAACATTGCCTACGGGAGAGATGCAGACGCAATGGTGGCAACGTAGAACTGCGCAGCCTGAACGGAGTGGGACGTGAGGCTGGAACTGAGATGGGGAGCTGTGCTACCGATGAAGATTCTCAAGAACTAGGTTGCGGGAGAGATAGGAGTCCCACAAACCAGGTTACTAGAGCCTACACTGTTCGAAAGGGGGGGTTGGCCCCGCTGAGGAAGCTCAGGGAGCCGAGCAGAGGAACAGAGGCGGTTGGGGAGAAAAGGAGGAGGTGGGAAGGGCAGGCAAAAAGGATGAGTGGGAGCGAGAGAGGCGCATCAGGGACTCTCTGGCGGTCCCGGCGAGGGCGAGGGATGTGCTGCTTCGGGCGCACAACCTCAACTTACAAGTGGGGGAAAGGGTTTCCTTCCTTGGGAGCAGGGTTTTTTGCCCGCTCTGTCGGGAGGTGGAGACGTTGGAGCATTGTTTGTTCCAGTGCCTGCACATTGTACCCGTGGTGGCTGCGGTCAGATCGGCGCTCAACATGCTGCGGCCAGCAAGGCGAGTGGACAACCTGGCAGACATTCTATTCGGGGCGGAGGCAACGAGGTCAGGATTTCCTGAGGCGACTGTGGTAGCTGTGGGAGTGCATCAAATTTGGCTAGGGAGGTGTGACGTGTCTCTCGAAAAGACAAAGAAGTTTCAGGCTCGAAAGGTGTTTCGGAGGATCAATGTGGAATTCAACAAACATGCACTGATGTATTGTGGCAGGCGAAACAAACAGGCTAGGAAGGATAAGGCACAGTGGAATCTAGCGGAAGATGAAGCACGTGTCATGCAAAGGAGTTGCGACAACGGTGGAGTGGGGCTGAGATGGCAGGAGAGGTTTCAATCCATCTGGTCAAATCCAATGCCACCGTAAAATCGCAGGGAGGGCCGGGTCCCCGCCTTGTTTAAGCCCTGATGAACCAGTTATGACTGTAGTGTTTTGCTTATACATCTTTTTGTATGAACTATTATAGATTATATCTGAACACTCATAATTGTGTACATTACATCGGCTGTCGTAAAAGTAGCTGATGGGCTTAGGCAGAGCAAGTCAGCCGTACCCATCTTGCACTACTAAGGGGGATTTTGGATGGTCACGGGATTGCTGCAAATGGAGGTGCAACCCCTGGACCTTTTTTCCCTTTTGCCTTCGGCTTCTTGCACAGTTTATCCCTCACGTATATCCTCATGTGAAGGTGGAATGCGACTACTATTCTTTTTAGCACTCTTCTTGCCTTGAACTTGCTACGCTCGAACACCGCACTGCACCTTTTCACCCAAAGCATATTTAGTGTGATGGGCGTGAGGGTAACCTCCAAGAAGCCTGTTTTTGTCCCCGATTCCTTGAATAAAAGTTCCTCGAACGTTCCAACCTTCCTCCCCGGGTTCCACACGCGAAGAGCCTTCCGAAACCCACGAACTACAAGTTGGATGGCTGAACAGCTGTATAAACAGTGATCCAGCGACTCAGCCCCTCCGCAATGAGGGCATTACGCCGTACTGCCGAAGAAGGGGAGCCTCTTATCAGAATCACGGCGGGCGGGCGACGCTGCGAGGCGGGCGGGCCGCGAAGCGGGCAGCGGGCGGGCGGGCGGGCTGCGAAGCGGGCAGCGGGGCGAGCGGGCTGCGATGCGAGCGGGCCGCGAAGTGGGCAGCGAGCGGGCGGGCGGGCTGCGAAGTGGGCGGGCCGCGAAGCGGGCAGCGGGGCGAGCGGGCTGCGAGGCGGGCGGGCCGCGAAGCGGGCAGCGAGCGGGCGGGCGGGCTGCGAAGTGGCGGGCCGCGAAGCAGGCAGCGAGCGAGCGGGCTGCGAGGCGGGCGGGCCGCGAAGCGGGCAGCGAGCGAGCGGGCTGCGAAGCGGGCGGGCCGCGAAGCGGGCAGCGAGCGGGCGGGCGGGCTGCGTAGTGAGCGGGCCGCGAAGCGGGCAGCGAGCGGGCGGGCTGCGTAGCGAGCGGGCCGCGAAGCGGGCAGCGAGCGAGCGGGCCGCGAAGCGGGCAGCGAGCGGGCGAGCGGGCTGCGAAGCGGGCGGGCCGCGAAGCGGGCAGCGAGCGGGCGGGCGGGCTGCGAGCGGGCGGCTCGGTGAGGGGCGCGCGAGGGCGCTAGTGAGGGGCGCGCGAGGGCGCTAGCAAGGGGCGCGCGAGGGCGCTAACGAAGGGGCGCGCGAGGGCGCTAACGAAGGGGCGCGCGAGGGCGCTAACGAGGGTGCGCGCGAGGGCGCTAACGAGGGGCGCGCGAGGGCGCTAACGTGGGCGCACGAGGGCGCTACGAGGCTAGGGCACGGGGTAGCGTGGTAACCGCATGCGAGCGGTGGTGGGCCCTAAAAAAACGGTCGGTAGGTCCTAGGGACCTCCTGCTCTGAATACCATATCAGAATCACTAGGCAAGAATGATTGAACTAGGAGAAGTTTGGGTACAAATAACAAACCCTAGTTGGGGTTGTACCCCATATTGGCTACCCCACTACAGCCTACAAGCATAATACAGTTTAACACCTCTCCCCCACATGCAAGTTTCGGCAATGAGCGCGGAGCAGAACACCTCTTGCCCAATTCGACACCGCTGTAGAGTCCCGGACGTTAAGGATTTTGGCCAGTCGATCGCCTTTCCCCACTCAGTCCCACGCCTCCTGCCGCTTTGTTTTTTCCCATTGCACGCGAAACAATCCGCAGCGTGGCTTGAAATCAGCCAGCCGTCCATCCACAAACATTGACGAGCAGCGAAGCCGTGTTTCCAATTGCCCCATGGGTCCAAGATTTTTTTTGTTCTTGAAAGCCATAGGTACTACTTCCTCTGCTTGGAAGAGAGTGGGCGGAGCCTCCTCCCTCAGCACCACAAGGGCTCTCCTTTTGTTTTGGCCATTATTTCGAGCTAACCCTAATTTCAATGTGTTTTGGCCCTAAAGCCCTAAACTTGGTAGGGTGAGGCCCAGGGAGGACTCATTTCTGCTAGGGTAGGCCCCAAAAAGTACCATGATTGGCAGGGTAAGCTGGTAAAACAACCTGCAAAAGCGAGCCCTGAGCACCCCACCATACTCGTCCGCAGCTTGACAAGCTAGCCTTCCTCCCACAGCATCCACAATTTCCATCTGTTTAGACACAAACCTTTGTGAACGTAAGGCAAGGCGGTGCTGACTCTTTCCAGCTGGGTAGCACACGCTTCATCCGGCTCGTGAGCAGCCTGTGAAAAGAAGAACGAGGAATGATTGCATTGAGCAGCATGAGGAGTACAAGTGCCAAACCCTAGAATGTTGTACCCCATATAAGCTACCCCACTACAGCCTACACAGACTATAGTGTATAAGTTTGACACACCCCCATAGGCAAAGTGGGGGAGAACAAGGGGTCACAAGACCAGTCAAGCAAAGCAAGGCAAAGCAAGCTCAGGGTGGATCACAACGTCACCACACAGTCTGAGCACAAGTTCAAGGCCACAAGGCCAGTTCACATGCAAGGTTACATATATATAACGCTAAACAAGCAAGGGCAGGTATATATATGTAACAGTACAAGCAAGGTCAAGAAGTAAGCAAGTGAGGCAAGGTAGGCACAAGACCTAACAGAGTGCAGAAGCGCTGATGATCACAAGGCGCGAGTGCCTTAGTGAAGATATCAGCAGTGTTGGCCTCAGAGGCCACGTAAGCAAGGCGCAGCTGGCCACGCTGCTGCAGCTCACGAGCAAGGAAGTAGCGGAGAGCGATGTGCTTCGTTCTGTGCTCCAGTCTGTGCTCCCGACACAAGGCCAGCATGGCCTTGTTGTCTACGTACAGCACTGGAGGAGAACGAGGCGGCTCTCCCAGGTCAGTCAGCAGGTAGGTGAGCCAGCGTAACTCCTGTGCAGCCATGGCCCCTGCGTAGATCTCAGCCTCACAACTGGAGCCGAGAACAGAAGACGAGCGGGTAGACCGCCACGAAACAGAGCCGGAGCCAAGGCTGAAGGTGTAACCCTGTGACGACCACTGCGTAGCCTGGTCGTCAGCCCAAGAAGCGTCTGCGTGACCAGTGAGGACCACTGAACTCTGCCCTCCAAGCACAAGCCCCATGCCCGACGTACTGCACAAGTAGCGCAACACCCTCTTCGCTGCAGCCATGTGCTCTGGTCTGTGTCTCCCAGGAGCAACAAAGCGTGCCAGAATGCTAAGAGGGTATGCAAGGTCAGGTCGAGTGCAAGTCATCAGGTACATGAGGCAGCCGACAAGCTCTGGGTACGGGCCACTCGGCTCTACGGGCTCATCCGAAGGCAGAGCTGAGAGCGAGTGGCGTGTAGCCAGAGGAGTGGCCTGAGGCGAGGAGTACGTGAAGCGGAAGCGCTGAAGGACCTGCTGCACCATGTGTGACTGAGTCAGGGTGATGGTGCGCTGTGCTCTGTCCCGGGTGATCTGCAAGCCAAGGTAGCTGCGCAGTTCACTCAGGTCTGTGCACGTGTGTCTCTTCTGCAGCTCGGACTTCACGTAGGCAAGTCCAGCAGTGTCAGCTGTAGCAAAGACCAAGTCGTCGACGTACACGAGGATGTAGAACGGCGGCAAGGAAGAGTCGGTGCGTAGAAACAGCGACGGGTCGGCAGTAGAAGGAGCAAATCCAAGTGCCGCGAGTGCAGTCCTCAGTGTGTCGTGCCACTCACGAGGCGCCTGGCGGAGACCGTAGACTGGCTGCCGGAGGCTCCACTGGGTACCAGGAGGGAACGACCCAGTGAAGCCAGGTGGGCGGCGCAGCCAGATCTCCTCGTGCAGGCTGCCCTGTAAGAAGGTTGTGCTGAAGTCCAGTGAGTGAAGCTCGTAGTCACGCTGAGCGGCAACGTGCAGCAGCACCCGAAGAGTGGTCATCTTCGGGGTGGGGGAGAAGGTCTGGAAGAAGTCAACTCCCTCTCGCTGACTGAAGCCTCGAGCAACGTAACGAGCCTTGAAGACAGGCGGAGAACCCGGCGGCCGCTTCACCCTGAAAATCCACATGCCACTGACGATGTTCGCCCCAGGCGGGGGAACCTCGTCAACGTAGGTGCCTGTGGACTTCCAGGAAGCCATCTCTGCGTCCATGGCTGCCTGCCACTGAGAAGAGTAGGGACCCTCTATCGCCTCCGCGTAAGAGCGCGGAGTCGGGATGTCAAGTGCATCCGGGTCTCCCTCAGGGGCAAGCAGCATGGACACGAGATGAGGTGAAACAGCAGCCAAGCACTGGAACTCCTCCTGCCTGTCGTCAAGGACGTCCGTGCCAAGAGCACACTCACCCCCGACGGACGGAGGACAGACAGACTCAGACTCAGCGACGAGACTGGTTGCGTTGTCTAGGCGACAGCGAGCAGCGAAGTCGACAAGCTCAGCAACCAGAGCAGACGCAGCAGTAGACTCAAAGGAAGGGTCAGTGACGACAGTAGCAAGGAGACGCGTGACAGTAGGACGCGCAGCACGAAGGGAGTCCGACTCAGGGTCAGGAAGGTCAGGAAGAGAGGACGCGGGAGGAGAAGGCAAAGGGGCACGCAGGGGAGCAGTGGAAGGACGCAGAGACATCCGGTGCGTCCCGGATAGGAGGAGGACGCTGACGCGAACCACGACCACTAGTGCGAGCAGCACGGACAGGCGACGCAGGGCGAGACGCAGGCTCACGACGCTCAGCAAGACCTCCAGTAGGACCAGTGTAGGGAGAGGGAGAAGGAAGCGGGGAGGCCGGCGGTAACTGTGACTCGGACTGGACAGGAGGCGGACACGCTAAGGGAGGAGCAGGACCAAGAGAGGACGGAAGACCAAGAACCTGCTCAAGGAGCGAAACGAAGTACGGCCGTGGCCGTGCAGCTCCACCAGTGCCAGCAGGAACAGCACCAGCACCCCCAACGGGAGCACCAGCACCAGGAGTGCCCCCAGCTCCAGGAGCACCAACTCCAGCACCCTCAGCAGCACCAGCGCCAGCAGCACCTCCAGCGCCAACACCCCCAGTAGCTCCAGCTCCAGTCGGACCACCCGAAGACACAGCAGCTCCAGCTTATAGGAGCACCAGCAGCACCAACGCCAGCAGCACCAGTAGCACCACCAGCTCCAGTAGGAGGAGCACCCGTAGGCCCAGCAGCTCCAGTACACCCTGTACGAGCACCTCTGGGACCCTCTGCACCAGCACCCTCAGCAGCAGTAGAACCTCCAGCGTCCGCAGCACCACCAGCTCCAGCAGCACGCCGCCAGCGCCGGGCGAACCACTCACGCAGCTCCTGTGGAGAGAGCAGCTCCCGCCGGGACGAAGCACCCGAAGAACCGCCAGGCTCAGCACCACCAGACGCCACACGAGCAGGTCCAGCACCCTCAGGCTCCGCACTCCGAGACACAGCACCCCCAGGCGCAGCACCCCCAGTCACAGCACCCCAAGGCTCAGCACCCCCAGGCTCAGCACCCCCAGGCTCAGCACCCCCAGGCGCAGCACCCCCAGTCGCAGCACCCCCAGACCCAGCACCCCCAGGCTCAGCACCCCCAGCAGCACCAGAGTCAACAGCTACCTCGACAGGCTCGACTGCATCTACCTGGGACACACCTGAGGGAGCAGGACCCTGAGGGGGAAGGGGGTCTACCGGAGGGGGACCTGGCGTAAGGAAGAGCGGCGGGGGAGGGAGGGACGCAGTGCGGTAGGGGAAGAGACGGTAGTAGGGAACCGACTCGTCAAAGGTGACGTCCTGGGAGGACAGAACACGGCGCGAGGTGGGGTGGTAGAACTGCCAGCCAGGCGCGTCAGGAGGGAAGCCAAGGAAGACGCAGTGAACGGCACGAGAGGACAGCTTGTCCGCAGACAAGTCGCGGACAAACGCCCTAGATCCCCAGACACGGAACGCAGACGCATCGCCAGCCTTCCCCGTCCACAGCAAAGCAGGGGAGGTCTCCGGCATGGAGACCCGGGGGTGAAGGTTGAGCTGATGCGCGGCGTACCGGACCGCAAACAGCCACAGAAAATGGGGAGCAGCCGCATGGATCATGGACGTACGAGCGACGTCCATGATCATGCCAATGCGGCGCTCAGCAATCCCATTCTGCTGCGGGGAGTCCGGAAGCGTGAAGGTCTGGCGGATGCCTCGTGCACGACAGAAGGCCCGCAGAAGGTCAGAGGAGAACTCTCCGCCTCTGTCAGAGTGCAAACGAAGAACAGGAAAGTCCGTGCCGAAACTCTCCTGGAGCTGGAGACGAGCTGCGCGGATCCAGGCGATCAACACCTCAGTGACTTCACCCTTGCTGCGCAAGGGGAAGACTGCGGTGTAACGCGAGTAGTCGTCAACCACCAGCAGGAAGTAACGCTCGTGACCCTGTCCACGGACGCGGGCTGGGCCCCACACGTCCATGTGAAGCGTCTGCAGCGGAGCCTCTGTCGGAGGAAACTCGGAGGAGTGAGGGGCAGCGCGCTGCCGCCCCTCGACGCAGGGAACGCAGGTGGGGGCAGGCCCCGGAGGAAGGGGAGGGAGGGACCGGGGGAGGCCAGAGACAAGAAGACGGGACGCCATGCCTCGAAGACGAGGCAGGGAGGGGTGACCAAGGCGGTGGTGCCAAAGGAGAGTCCGGTGGGACAGGAGATGACACGAGCAGGGGGCAGACTCAGGACCAGACCTGGACGCCGCAGCAAACACCTGACCCGACGCTGCTACCTGAGCAGACTCAGTAGTCAGTGTGTACAGGCTCGACCCCGGCCGACGGGTAAACGTGTCCGCACACGTGCAGTGGGTCACCCGCTGACGAGCAGGGGTGAACTGGTCAACTCCTGCATCCTGTAGGTCAGCACCTGCCACCAAGTTCGTAGAGAACGAGGGGAGGTAAAGACCCGACAGGGAGCCAGACGGGACTGCTGGACACGGTAGGACAGTGGAGTAGTGGGCAAGGACAGGACCCCCAGAGGGGTCTGCCAGGGAGACTGCAACGGGCCGACTGAGCGGCGTGAGAGTGGTGCAGTCTCGAAAGAAGGAGCGGGAAGCACCCGAGTCAAGGGTGAAGGTGTGGGTGTCCGGTGACGACGCAGTACCTGAGAGCGCAGACTCACCGGCACCTGGGGCGGCAGACGCACTGGCACCTGGAGCAGCAGCCTCTATGCCTGGGTCAGGCGGAAAACACCGGTAACAGTCACCCTCATCACTAATAGTCACAGCATACATGGCAGCAAGAATAGCATCATAATCAAGATCAAAGATCGCAATAGCCGCCCTAGACAGCTCGCCCCAGCGAGGGATCTCAGTAGCGTCGGGGAACTGGTGGCGCCACGCGTCCGTCAGACGGCCGAAGCAGCGCTGGGTGGAGTGCGCTCCCCCACACTGCTCACCCGCCCGGTCGCCGGTACGGAGAACGTAGGTACAGGGGCCAGCACCCCCGCCCCGCTGACGAGCAGTGTACCACTCACGAAGCTGCTGGGGGGAAGGGGTCTCACGAGTACGCTGCTGCTGCTGCTGCTGCTGCTGGCGCGTACCACCACCGGAGCCAACCCTCTGCGCAGCGCCACCCCGACCAGCACCACCTGCTCCGCCGCTACCTCCTCCAGGACCGCCACCTCCGCCACCTCCGCTCCCACCGCCACCGCCGCCTCCACCTCCACCTCCAGTCCCGCCACCGACGCCCCCACCCCCGCCACCACCCCCACCGCCACCCCCACCCCCTCCACCACCTCCACCTCCGCCTCCACCGCCCCCGCCAGCTCCTCCAGCACCCTTGCCCCCCTTGCCCTTGCCAGGGCGGCGTCTCCCGCTAGGGGCAGACGCCGCAGCGACCGACTCAAGACCAACGAGGTCGGCCGCAGCAGCAGAGGCAACAGAGGGCAAGAGGGGAGAGGGGGAGCACCCCTCAAAGACAGGGGCACGAGGGTCACCACGAGAGGCTCCTACAGCGACTATGCTCTTCTCTGCCGCTAGAAGGCGCTCCTCGAGGAGGTCAACGGTGAGGGTGGTGGGGCAAACAGAGAGGAAGTGGTCCCTAACCGGGCGAAGGGTGTCAGGGAGCCGGGTGACTATGTAGTAGAGGGTGATGTACATGGGGGGGGGGTTCTTGGCGCAGAACTCAGCAGGAAGCGCAGCGCGGTAGCGAGTGTCACTAGTGCGAAGGTGCGTAATGAGGTCAGCGACAGTGGGAAAAGCGGCGAGGTCAGGGAAAAGGTACGGCAGGATGAGGCGGCTAAGTGCAGCAGTGGCAGGGGAAGAGTAGCGTGCAACTACAGCGTCGTACAAGGTCTTAGCACTCTTGTACTGGCTAAAGTGCGCACGCTCAGCGGTCGGCAAGTGGCGGCGCACAGCAAGGCGGGCAGCAGCATCGCGCGTGGCCCACTGGGAGCGAACAGTGGGGTCAGCATCAGCAGCAGGGGCAGGAGAGGCACCAGAAGTGAGGTCAAAGAGGGAGAGACCGTCTGCCCTATCGCACTGTAGGAAGAGCTGCAGATCATCTATCCAGACCTCAAAGTCAACAGCCCGACCCTCAGCGTCAAAGGTGAGAACACTGGGGGTGGCCATGACAGCAGTGTGAGCAGTAGGCTAAGGGCAGTGCAGTGACAGAGGCGCTGCTCTTACCGGGCAGGCGAGAGAGACCAAGACTTGCCGGGAATGGCGGCTCGGCAGCAACTGCGGCTCGGCGGCTCGGCGGCAACGGCGGCTCGGCGGCTCGGCGGCTCGGCGGCTCGGCGGCTCGGCGGCTCGGCGGCTCGGCGGCAACGGCGGCTCGGCGGCTCGGCAGCTCGGCGGCTCGGCGACAACGGCGGCGCGGCGGCTCGGTGGTAGGGCGGCGTCGGGGTCGCGAGGGGCGGCAGAGCCGCGGACAGGCGGCGGCGTGGTCGCAAGGGGCGGCGACGGGGCCGAAAGGGCGGCGACGGAGGCCGTAGGAGGCGGCGACGGAGGCCGTAGGAGGCGGCGACGAGGCCGGAAGGGGGCGGCGACGGGGCCGCAAGGGACGGCTATGGGGCCGCGAAGGGGGTGCGGCGACGGGGCCGCGACGGTCGGCGACGGGGCCGCGAAGGGGAGGGCGGCGACGGGGCCGTAAGAGGCGGCGACGGGGCCGTAAGGGGCGGCGACGGGTCCGCGGAAGGGCGGCGACAGGGGCCGCGAGGGCGGCGACGGGGCCGCAAGAGGCGACGGGGCCGCAAGAGGCGACGGGGCCGCAGAGGGCGGCGTCGGGGCCGCGACGGGCGGCGCCGGGGTCACGTAAGGGTGGCGACGGGGGGCCGCCAAGGGAGGCGACGGGGTCGCTAAGGGCGGCGACGGGGCCGCTAAGGGTGGCGACGGGGCCGCTAAGGGCGGCTCACCGATCGTGTCTCGGGCAGGGGCGACGCGCGCCCCGGGCAGAAAAAAAAACTCGATATTAGTGGGCCCTAGGAAGAAGTTCCCACGAGGGAACCTACTCTGATACCATGTGAAAAGAAGAACGAGGAATGATTGCATTGAGCAGCATGAGGAGTACAAGTGCCAAACCCTAGAATGTTGTACCCCATATAAGCTACCCCACTACAGCCTACACAGACTATAGTGTATAAGTTTGACACAGCCTCCCCGCCACCTTGTACATAGTGATTTGTAGTGTAATAGGCCTGCAGTTTTGCTCCTGACCACTCGGCCTCTTCTTCTGCAGCAGGATGGTAACCACCTCCTTCATCCTTTGCAGAATCACGACATAAGACTCAAAGCCACATGCAAAGTCCATGAAAGCACTCACTAACTATGAGGGTCGAGTCTCAAGTTCAAAAATTATAATTATGAATCTTTGGCACAACTATATGGCTATAGTATAGACACGATACAAGGCAGGGACCCACGACGTTATGAGAATGTTCTGAGCATCGGAAACCGTCGAGAACGGAACCTTCAAGAAATCGGTAGAAGAACGCAAGGTTAACTAAAGTTTAATAGAACCGGGTGCACGCAACCTAATCAGGGCCATAACTGTATTAAACATAGGGAAGGAACGAATCTACGGAAACAAGTACGTAAACAAGCAAAAAAAGAAAGAAGTAAGAATAGGTAAGAACGGGCGTCGTACTCTCACATGTGCCAGTGCCTTTTGAAGAGCTCCTTTGGAAGACCGTCACTGCCCGGGGACTTCCCGATAGCCAGCCCATTGATCGCCTCATGTACTTCAGCCTCCATCCACTCTGTAACTGGGCCCCCGGTGTTAGGATCGAGTCTCAAGCTCAGAATATAAAATCAACGAATCCATGGTACAACTACGTGACCATATATAGGTACAACACGCGTCATATAACCCAGGTGTTACTAGAAAGTACCAAGCATCGTGAAGCGTCCTGAATTCGGTCGAAGATTTTTGTTGTAGTCATATGCACGCAACTGTCAGAATCCCAGTCACTAACCACTGGGATAAAAGGGCTTGTTTATATAGCGGGTGAGTGCGCCCATAACCCCCCAGGCCGACGTGCCTGTAACCCTTCCCTAGGATCATCGGGGATCCCCAGTGGACCTCTGACACCCCCCCGCACTGGGATGCCCGAAGTGCACACACCGGGAATCGAACCCGAGACCTTCGCTCTGATACCATGTCAGAATCCCAGTCACTAACCACTGGGATAAAAGGGCTTGTTTATATAGCGGGTGAGTGCGCCCATAACCCCCCAGGCCGACGTGCCTGTAACCCTTCCCTAGGATCATCGGGGATCCCCAGTGGACCTCTGACAGCAACGTCACGCAAGATAACTTTAGAAACCACAGTAAAACGGTGCATGCTATCCTATTTGGTGCAAACTCTAGAATAGTTATAGTCAAAGCAACGAACTAGTAAGTAAGCACAGAGGTGGTGCTATTACCATCCTCCCAAACAACTATATTTCAGCCTTGAAAGGTGGTGCTATTACCATCTTTTAGCAGGTGGTAATGTGCTGCCCAAGTGGTGGAGCTCTTTTCTGCATAATCCCCCTCGTGACCTTGGCTGGTGCAGCAAGTTCGGGTTGAGAAGGTGAGTCCTCACCCACTGACTCATCCTCCAACCCCTCCTTTGCAGCACGACCAACAACTTGCTGATCACCATCGCCACTGAGGTTATTGGCCAGCTCTGACCCAAGAAGATAATCGAGATGCAGTTGAACCTCTCCACTGCAGACCACTCAATCTCCTACAGACGGAGGCCGATCTGTCTTGCTACTGCTGCTGCCAAACCATATGTATCATGTCCTCAACAAGTTTGACGTCATGACTCACTAGCGTTTTCTTTCTCTTAGGGTTTTGCATTAGCCACCCCTTCAAGTCAGGACCCATCCCAAGTTGGAGCAGCCACTTCCTGCTTGTGCCACTATCATGAGCCCCAGGCAGCCCGCACATGCAACATGTCAATGGTTGGCTTCTTGCCAAGCCAACGCTCATACGGCATCCAGTGCTTCTCGCAACATGTGTTAAAACACTCTTCTTGACTGTAATGACATGGCAGACAACATCAGGTAAGAACTTGTAGGGCATTTAAGCAGCCTCGCCAATGGTCCGGTTGGCACGCTCGGCAATTTCGTTTCGCTGTGATGTTCCAGGGCATGTCATCTGGTATCGAATGCCATTCCTTTTTAGAAACTTGGTGAAATCAGTTTCAAGGAACTCACCACCACGATCATTCCTCAACACTTTTACAAGTCTCATGGACTATCGCTGTACCATCGGCAACCAATCCTCTCTGATTTCCGCAACAACGTCACTTTTTTTCGACAAGGGACGAGCCCATGTGAATCGGCTCTATTTGTCCATGGTGAGGAAGTATAATGCTCCCCTAGTCCCCTCGGTCCACATAGGACCTACAAGGTCCATGTGCACCACCTTCATTGGTGCCTTCGCTAATCCCTCTGCACGTGCTGCAAACAGAACCTGTGGTGGTCACGAGGCGCAAGGGTTTTGGTGAAGATGCCCATGGTGGTGGTCGCTAAGGCCATAAAGACCAAGCGTCCCTGGCCACGTCGCTGCAGCTCTCGCAGTAAGAAGTCACGCAGATGGATATGCTTCACTCTGCTCTTGAGCCGAGGCTCTCGATACAGGAGGATCATGGCCTTGTTAACAAGGTCGGTGCAAAGCTAGGCTAGTCAACCAGGTCAATGAGCAAGAAATTCAGCCATGGCACCAGCGTAGATCTCGGCCTCAGCACCAGACGAAGCCACAAATGACGACCGAGTAGACCTCCAAGACACAGCTCCAGAGCC